TAAATTTGGAATAACTCAGTGAAAAATGATCGTATCAAACTCCGTAAAAAAGCATTTTAAAGATAAAAGTCCATATTTTCATGTGCATTTTGTCCCATTGAGCTGCGATACCTGATTTACGCCGTGGATCGTCGCAAACTCGCACCTTTGATTACAAATTTTACATCTTCTCATTTTGTAATCCGCCATTTTGAAAAAAATTACCCCTTATAATTGCCGTTCAAATATTCTTAAAGTGGACACTTCAAGCTTTATTTTCCTTTTTTAAACATATTTTTATCTTTATTATTTACCAAGTTATGATCATTTGAAATTTGGTAAATTTTTCCTAATTTTTCAGTGTACCGCTTTTTTTTGCATGCGAGTGTATATATATATATCCATATTAAATAGATTCATGTAATATAAAACAATCTTTTGATCTTTACCTCTTGCAAAATCGCTGTACAGTCATTATATCGTTTGCAAATTTCCGACCATGCAACTTCTTTATCACGAAGTGTTGAGCTATCACTTTTCTTAACCTCTATAACATGCTTAAAATTTTTTAATATTTCCAAAAAGATTTTTTTCTCGACTGCGCTATAGTGTTTTGATCTTGACATTTTCGTATTTTCACAACTTTGCATGTTAACAATATTTTTTTAAATCGATATTCTTTACGAATTATTTTAATTAGAGGTATGATATCGAACGCTAGCTAGTCTGTTGTCTGTAGATAATGGTACTGCTGAAAATACCGCCTCTTATTGGTTGGTTTTAACAGAAGTATACGGAAATAGCCGAATGAACAATAAGTATGATCTTAAGCACGTCTTGGAGAAGAAAGTCTCAAATAGAATAAGAGCTTCTTAGGCGAGAAGTTCTTCGATAAGTTTATCTTAAGTCATATCTGTGAATCATATAATACTTAAGACAGTCTTCATACAATAAGACGATCTTGATCAAGTTGATCTTAAGTACTGTCTTGAGCTCGGACTATGAATACCGCCCCTAGAGGCCTAGAAAACAGAGATGCGACATTGCGTCGGTTGGGTTAGGTAACCATCACCATTTTAATTCAATATAAGTGCTCTTGACCAATAAGCTGATGACAGTTGATGCAAAAGGTAGAAAGATTAGATTAGGTTAGGTTAAGTCCGATATTAAATATTCACACAAATAAGAATACTTACACCATAATAATAGTTTTTTATTGCACTTTGACACTGTATTGTCTAAATTTTTCTCTTTATATGTATGTAACATACGTTATAAAACTATATCTATTAGATGCAATAGTGAATTAAAATGGCTCTCTGATCACGTGATTTAGACAGTCAATCAAGCCATACCCTTCAATGACGCATCTCTGTTTTTTAGGGCTGCGTTCCGTTTCAGACATATGCGCGCATTTTATATAGTGAGCGTCACGTATACTATAGGGGAATGCGCGCATATGCGTGAAACGGAACGCAGCCTAGGTCTCTACTTCCACCATGCTAGCACCTAGGCTGCCTTCCCATAGTCCCTTTGCCAGTCAGTAAAATAATATAATTTTCTAGATATTTTAGTAAAAGATAAATTTTTATACTAACTTCGATACATTGCATCCTCCCTTCTTTTATTTCACTATCTTGTCATATAATATGGATTTTTCCCATAAAATATATCGTTTAATTAACTAGTTTTTAAAAATTCTATCTCTAAAGATCTAAGAGGTACCATCCTTATTATACACTTATTTAATTCTATTGACATGTATCTTTTGTATGTATATAACATAAAAACTTACCTTTTTAAAAAAAAGGTAGAAAAAAGCGCTAAGAGTGGGTGCTGCTGGACAAAAAACAATTTGGGCCAGTTTCATCAACGTCAATTACTTAATCGACTGTGAAACGACCAATCACATTTGCTGTTTAGTAGAACCATCTTTAAAAACCTACGTGATATTATCCTTATTTAATTAATTCTAATGACATGTATCATTTGTATAAAAGATTTGATATCAATAGTCGGCGC